TTCTACTGTTTTACTAAAGTCTACACTACTATATTGAACTGCACCGTGCAATAATAGTACTATACAACAGCAACAACAACAACTACTACTACTACTACTACTACTACTACTACTACTACTACTACTACTACTACAGCACTACTACTACTGCTACGGCTACTCCGCTCGTTCTAGTCTAGTAGCAGGACTCGTACTGGCACTGTACGAGTACGGATATCGCCCCTACAATCTCGAACGTCTTCCTAGGCTATGCTAGACTGTGTTACCCCTAGATGCTTGCACATAACACGATTCGTTCGGACAAGTGCCCGGACAAACGCGCCTGAAACCTTGCAAGCTGCAAGTCTGAAGCAACTCGTCTGTGCGAGAAGAGCCCCAGCTGCCCCAAAGCAAAACACAAACACATCTCTGCGATGCTAGCGCTGTCTGTCTGACTGTCTGACTGCGTATTGTGAGACAATGCCAGTCGACCTCCACCAGGTTTGCTGGACAATTTTTCGGAACCGCTGACGATTTGTTGGTACCGAAGCATGTCGAAGCACTGCAACCTTTAGCGTCACAAGGCATGGCAGTGGCCTCGAAGCTACGGGGTGAGAGAATCTGCACAAGCCTCACTGACTGTCCGTGGCCCTCGATGTACGGAGTGCTCGAGAACATCAATTTAGTCTTCACCAAGAAAGGTTTCAGCAGTTCATGTGTTCGTTAGTATCTGGTCAGAAGGAACAATGTCGGGAAGTTCGGCCTGAAGCCACTCGGAGTCCCGGCTCGGGGCCTAGGGTCAGTGTCTAAACTGCTTTGCTCGATACAGGATGCGCATCAGCGGCGGCATACCAAGTCCTGCCAGTCTTTTGGGGCTATTGGAAGATGCATTAGATGTGGCCAAGCGGAGTGGGGCATACCCGCCGGACTACCACAGAATGGCCGACGCAGTCCTTCCGTCTTGCTGCATGTGGGTGCGACTCAAACATCACTTACCACGGGGTGTTGGCTCCCAGAACCGAAAAGAAGAGAACTCAGATGCAAAGCCGTGTCAGGCAGAGAAGAGTACAGAAATATCAGCAGAATGTACTCAGCACGCGCTCCACCGGCCAGTCCGTATTGTTGAGAAAATAATCTCCAGACAATGCTGCCGAAGCGTTCGTCAGAATCTCCTGAGCTGGTTTTGTTCGCCAACCCATGGCGCAAGCCTCCAACAGCTTGCTCCGCCCACGCGCTTGGTAGCGAGCAAGGGCACAAAGACCGGCAGGATCGTCTTGAGAAGGAAAGCTCAAGCCAGAGCTCTTCAGCACGTCTTCACGCACGAAGGTCAAGTCAACTCCTCCAAGGTGGACTAACACATAGCCCAAGGCACGCCCTACATTCCGCAAGGTTGTGACGCTTGCAGAAACTAGCGAAGGCAGTTTGCCCCTATTAGCTAAACACAACTGATGCACAGGATAGCTCGAGTAGCGGACGGCCACATCCTCATCGTAAGGCAGATGAGAGCCGAACTCAATCATCACGATTCGAGGCCGATACTGTCCCACGCGGCATAAGTTTAGCCAGAGGAGCCACTGGTTTCCATCTGTGTCCAACGACAGAACATCAAAGGTGGATGGCACCATGAACTCCTGAAACAGACTGACAACGTTCTCAGGTGTGACGCGCTGGGTCGTCAAGTTGATTTCTGCATTGCCGAAGTTGTCGTCGATCATTAACCCATGGAAGCCGTGACGGGCCCTGAGGTAGCGGGTGTTGCACTGGTCCCCGAGCTGGGTGCCGATTTCCACAAACTGCCGGTGTCCCGGCCCAAGCAACGCCAACAGGCGCTCCAACACACCATCATTCAAGGCGGCTGAAAACACGGACGTCAAAGAAGGCTCCCACAAGGAGAGGGGTCCCAGCTCTTTTGGAGTGCTCGCAGCCCACATAGGCAAGCTTATGTCAGTTTCATGCTTCGCGTCTTGCCACTGGAGTTGTTGCTGTAGACCTTGCTGAAGGGCCATTAAAGCTCTCCAGGCCCCCGGATAAATCACACCGCCCTCCACTGATCTTGGAAAATGTCCCGCAGCTTCCGTCTCCGCAAGGGTGGCCTGCGCAATGTGCATGTGCGCAAGATCTGCACGTATATCCAAGAAGCGCCGGGCATTGAACACGTAGGCCATCACACGAGCTGTGTCGCAACCATGCTCCGCTGTGACGAGGTGGCCGTGGCTTGCAAGAAGCAAGGCAAAGCGAGACAAGTCCGGATATGTATTGATGTTGCTGCCGGTGGACGCAGACGTCGTCAGCGACAAGCCGTCTGCATCAATAATCAATTCAGCCATGTTGTTCTGAAAGTTCTCGCAAGTTCTCGCAGGCTTGAGCACGAGTACATTGAGCATCTGGATATATGATGCCGCGGCATGCAACATTGTGCGAATCAGCGGGTCCATCAAGTTCGACCAAGCAAGCTTGTCGCTCCAGACTAAGGAGTTCCACAGCTCGAAGAGACGATACCAATCTAGTCCAGTGTGCTCAAGCTGGTCGGTTCCCGCACTTCGGGCGGTCCATCGACACACTTGGGACGCCAACATCAAAAGCAAAGCTGCAGGGCATGCTTCGTAGGTCGCATCGGCATTCGCGAGCAGGCGCTGCTCGATGACTTCCCACTCTGCGGAAGCAGAAGGCATTCCTTGATACAGAAGTCGATCTACAGCTTCTGCCAAATACGCTTTGATCGTCGCATCTGCTGATGCGCAAGGGGCCGGGGCACTTGCAATTCCATAAGCTAGCTGCGTAGCTTTGGCATCCAGCCTTGCAGATGGGTCTTCTGGACAACATGCCTCCCGGGACCCACGAGCCCAACCGTTCTCCCAGCAATCAGGTGATTTCAAGGAAGTGCGCCAGTGTTCTGGTTTGGCACAGCACAGGAAGTAGTGCGAGTAGGGAAATCCTGGCAGCCAGCAACCATGCCGTCCTTCCACCATGCCATGTTCCACGGTGCTCGGACGGTCGTGCACCAAATTGTTACAGCTTTGGCTTGATACATCTTGATACCGTTGGAAAATATTATTGAGTGGAATTTTATTCAGACACATTCCATAAAACACTCCATTCAATTCGCAAGAAAACCGAAAACATCCCCAAACCATAAACCAGCGACCCTAAAATCTAGCTATGGCTTCGGCAAATGGTTGAAGCTACTTGCATACTGGACATCATGCACAAAAGCAGCTTGTCCGAGTTTGCGACATTTTCCCCGCTGGGGACACCAGTTTCGCTGGCCTGACCACAGCCGAGTTCATGCCAGTAGCTCTTCTCTCTTCGTTACGTCATGTTACGTCCATGACTGAAATCACTTGTTTGTTGACGGCATTAAAAATTGAATCTGCTGGCGGCCCAGGTCGGAGGACGCTGGGGCATGACCTCGTCCGACGCCTCGCACGGCATCGGTCCCTGCGTGCGCCGCGGGCGCTGAGAGCTGCTGCCCGCGCGGGGTGAGATCGCAGGTGGTCGGGACATGTCGGGACAGCTGAGCTGCGCTTTGCAGCGCGCCTTGGCGTCGACACTCCTGGGCGGCGTGTGGTGCGCGCCGGCGCAGCCTGCCGGGGACGAGTACGTCCCTCTCGGCTCGGCTGGGTGAGGCAAGAACAGCCTTCCAGGCTGCCGCTCAGGGCTTGATGCGCAGGCAACGAATGATTGCAAAAGCAAAACGGAGCGCAACCAAAAAAAAAATGAACTTTCGGGCTGCGAGGCTCAATCGGTTCTAGCCCACGGGTTCTATCTTACAGTTTGTTTTTCTGGGCATCGAGATTGAAACGCGACACCGGCAAGCTTCTTGGTTCTTGATGCTTCGTGTCCAAAAACAAGACCAGCACAATGTCCTAGGTCCCTACTGGCTCAGCCTATCCGACCGTCTCGTCTGGTCGGCAAAGCTCGCTATTGGGATTCTTCGCGGTTCTGCCAGGATAACCCTGGTGAGTTTTCGTTTGCACATGTCGTTTGTAAGTTGGCCTGCGTGAGCCTGCATCCCATGGACAACCCATGGAACAAGCAGACAAGCTATCTGTTCTGCAATCAAACGAAGGAACTCCGCGGAAGGAGCAAAATGGCAAGGTCAAGTTTGATTGCTCGGAGAACGGCATACACAAGTTCGATTGTAATGCCAACGAAGGAAGGCGCTGTTCAGTCGAACAATGCGTATGCACTGTGTGTAGTGGCATCAGGATTCAGAACAACGAACTGTTCAGCACGGTTTCTGACAACGATTGTCTGTCAGTATCTGGGCAGTTGGTGGCTGTAACGCTCCCTGCTCAAAAAGCTGAGTCCAGACATGCCTCCAATCTAAACTGTCGATGTGGCAACTCCGCCTTTCCGTATCCCTGCTCCCCACCAGTGCTGACATGTCGTTTGGCCGTGCCAAAGCAGCCTGGGTACGCCCCACTGCGTCCACCACGGTTACACCACGGGTACAGCACGGATTTTATGTGCGAGCTTTGGCAACCCATGTTGCGCTGCCCGGCGACGATTTTAAAGCCTGTGAACAAGCTCCAGCCGGGCATTGTGATTGGACGATGCATCGCAGCTCAGCTAAACCGCGACGCAAGTGCACGCTGATTCCTAATTCGTGCCATACACAAATTATATATTTCCAACTGCAAACGATCATTCGGGCCCCGGTGCTGACTGTGATGGAGTACTAGCTGTCACCCAGAGCGCCTTTAAGAACCCCGACGCAGGAAACTATCGCGTTGCCCAAAGCAGCTTACAACTGGCGTGGTGCCGCCTCATTGATGAGTCGGCATCAACACTGGCATCCCGTGTTCATGGGAGCAGCACGGAGGGGCAGCGAAACAGCATGCGGCCGCAAAACACAAGACCGAGAACCAGCCCTGAGCGAAGGCAATGCAAGCAGCGCGGGAAGCACGGGGCACCACGGGGTGTAGCGAGCTCGAAAGCGGGAAACAAACCTACAAGCAACAAAAGTGCTGCCTCACAGCTCCACTGTCGCGCGATAAATACTTACTGCGCAGCGACGGGGAGCAGGCCACTCCTTCGCCGGCAGAGTACAGCCCACACAGCATATAGAACATCTGCATTTGCGGGTTCCAGGGACCCCAACCCGAAACCCCGCACGAGCTCTTTGCAGACGCTCACGTGAGTTGCAGTGCCAGGCACGGCCACGAGCTCGCCCCTGACACCATGCACATGTGCTCTGTTACGGGAGAATACACGAGCTGGTGAGGCACGCCTGACTGCTGCTGGTCGGCAAGGCACAGCCGGGCACGCGACTTGGGGTCAGCAAGGTCGAGTACCCGCTCCAGCAAAGTGCATGAGGCGGCGCCGGCCATGCACGCTTCCCCTATGAAGCTGTGCCCCCCGTGATGGCGCTTTGCACCGACGCTGGCCCTGCACAGCCGGGAGGGCCTGCATGCACCGAGCGTGTGGGGGCACCGCTATCCAATCCCCAAAGTGGAATTAAATGGTCGGCGGTTTGTAATGATCTGGCCGGCACATGCCGTCGCACAAACCGCCTTCAAATTCGAGCTTGGTCGCTGTCCAGCCACGGACATGATTTGATAAAACAAGTCGATTGGTTCCACATGCGTCAGGGCAGGGAAGCCAACGAGGCGCCTAATGCTTTTCGCTCAAAAGGGTTGCCTGCCGGGAAAACCGGTCTGAGTCGCGAAGGCAGATGCGCTCGTGTCAAATACACCCTTGGCCCATCCAAAACTCGCTCCGAAGTCGGCGGGCAGGAGGATGAAGTGTGAGTGGCATGGCGTCGGAGCTTCCGGAAGAAGCAACCTAAATTTTGCGGCTGCTTGCTTTAGGAAGCTAATCAGCCATTGATGACAGGCATCATTGGATCTGTTGAAAGGCACGCAACCACAACATCGATCCGTCACCCTGTCACCGTGTGCCTACGTGTTCGATTGTGTTCTGACGTAGGTGTGGTTGGAACACAGCTGTCCCTGGGGACGCACACGATGCGAGGGGGTCACATCATGGTCACATCAACATGTCTTTCCCCATGTGGACGCCGCATCAGCAAGGCTGCAACAAGTAGAAAAAAACATATGGTAACCGAGCCATTCCCCATGTAGACGAGCGATTTCAGAAGCACCCACGCAAGACACACGTCGGTGGAATCATAACACAGCAGAACCAGCTACTCCCCATGTAGACGCCCGTCAATCACGCACTCAGGGCAAACATCAGTGGCATCCCAGCAGAACCAAGCCAGACTCACAGCGGTGGAATCACATACCACATCAGAACCAGCATGAACCAGCTATTTGCCATGTAGACGCTCGATTCCACAAGCTGGCACGAGAGCCTGACAGAACTCTGAAAATGTGGCGCGTGGTGCAATTCGCTTAGGCTGCGCGCAAGGTACCCGTAAGCAATGCCTAAGCGGCGCCTCCCGTGGCTTACCCAGACAGAGCCCAGCATTACCTGACCACGTACGAGTTCAGCAGCGACGCTGCAACCCCCATGTGTCGCATGTGCATGTCAGCGCATCGCACTGTCAGGCCAGTGATTGGACAGCCCAGGGTGTCTCGCGGTAGTTTCTGGGGTTGGGCACTCCAGAGTTTGACGGTAGTCTCCGGGATTAAAGCACTCCACGGAATCTGACGGTCGTCTTTGGGGTTCATCACCCCAGGGAGTTTCACGGTAGTGTTTGGGGTTCCAAGCGAACGCTCGATTTCGTAAGCACCTGCCTGCACAAGAAACGCATCAGTGGCATCGCAACAAAAAATCAAACCAGCCATTCCAGCTCCAGAAACACATCAGCGACATCGTATCAAACCGCAAATCAAAACCAACGGCTCCCCATATAGGCGCTCGATTTTGCAAGCACCCAGCAATACCGCAAAAAGGAACGATTCTCCGTGTCTGTATATTCAATTTCATCAATCAAACCTCAACAATCCCGAATCAACGCCATCACAAATCCCCAAGTAAACTCTCGGTGATGTGACCCCTCCGAGTGCTACCCCCCAATGCGGGGTGAGACCCAAGTAAACATGATGCGATTTAGCTTTGTCGCTGGTCTGGTAGTACTAACTTCACACGACGATAAACAGTATATCGTTAACAATACCGAACTGTTGCAAAAACAAGCCCTTGCAGGCTACACACATTATTATTCATTTTTCTAATTTTTGTTCTTCCCTCGCACCTTTGTGCCGCCGCGTCAGGAGTCCTCAGGGTCAAGGGTGCTGTGACCTGGCTACGCGAGCCGGCCGGGGCGTGTTCGCAGGCTGCGCGCCAGCAACTCACGCAACGGCACCTCGTGGTCGTCAGTTGGGTCGCTGGGCCCCGCGATGGGCAGCTCAAGGAGCGAGCAGGCGTGTGCCCGGAACGCTGCGAAAACAGTCTTTCCAGCGCTGGCTTAGGGCTTGTCGAACGGCTGCAACGCACCACGGCGGCCGCTGGCGAGCCCCTCGCGCTCATCAGGGTGCCGCGGCTGACCCGCTCGCCAACTTCCACGCAGGAGCCAGCGCCGAGCTTGTGTTTGACCTGCTCTAGGCGAGGCCCGGTTGATGGTCAGCCTGTGGGCGGGGCTGGCCGTCCCGGCGGACTGGGCTCACGATTCTGGCATGTAGCAAATTAGTCCTATATGTCTCTGAAACGTAAATGCTGGATTTCCCAGCATGTCGGCCACGTGTAGCGTTAGGTGAGTGTAAGCTGACTCTACAAAAATTGCAGGGAGGCACAAGCAGGATGCATAGCGGAGTTCAGCGAAGGATCCCAACATGCAATGGATCAACGCGCAACCGTGTTCAAAAGGTTAATTTTTTACACGGACTTTTCCGCCTGCAAGAAATGGTCTCAGCTACGCGACCCCTATAGAGCAGCTAGGTCCATCTAGGTCCTAGGTGCGGTCCCGGCTTAGGGCCGCAGTGGCAGGCGGCTGGGCCCGTCAGCGGCGAGGTCGAGAACACGGTCCAGCGCGGGGCCGTCACCAGGCCCCGGCGCCGGA